CGCCTCTGGGGAAATTATGGCGTCGTTTAAACTTATCCCCCCACGCGCTCACCAGCAGTAGCAGTAGCAGGGTGTAGTTCGTGGAGAGTCTCGCGCCAAATCACGCAGCGGCCGTACGGCCAGAGACAGACAGACAAAAAGGGAGAGAGAGAGAAAGAGAGAAACACGACTCCCCCCGCCGCCAACACAACAACAGCGACTGCCACGCGATGAGCTGCCGGCTTTGTTTTTCCTCATTTACACTTATTGTGACAGTGATTATCGTTAAACGCGGCCGTGCGGGTGGTGGTGGGGTCGGGCTGGGGGCAGGACCCCGCCAACGGCCGCAATGCGAGCACACCCGGCCCGGACGCCCGCTCCGCCCTCTCGCTCCCCAACAAAAACAACAAGCCGGGGGAGCAGCAGCAGCGCGCCCCGCGCCCGCGCGCCGCACCTAGTTTGGTTACTTAGCCCGTTGGAGCGCATAGAGAAGGAGGCGCAGGCGGTGAAGGGAAGGCGGCTGCGGTTATAGGGGAGTTTGGGAAGGAGCAAACCCTCCGTTCCGTTCCTTGTGCCCCGCCGCACCGCCGTGAGCTCGACTGAAAAACACCAAGTTGGCGTGCGAATTAATGCGACACGCTTCGATGAGCTTTTCGCCTCGTAATCGGCTGCGCCGAGGGGTCGGGGCAAGAGGGGAGGGGGGCTCGTTACGGGGGCCCCCGCTCACGTGGCTCGGCGCGCGCCGCCCCCACGCAGCTACCCCCTAGGGGGAGACTTCCAGCCTCGCGGCCCGGGCGGGGGAGGAGGGTCTCCGATGGAGCGCCCGCCCTGGCAGAGTGCTGTGTGCGAGAAAGAGACGGGTTTAGCAAGGGCCTCCCAGCAGCCCAGATCCTGGACGAACAGGACGCCGCCGCCGCCGTTCGCTCCAACTTCTCCGCCTCTTTTTTTTTTTTCGTCGTTACTCCCGTTACCTGCTTAGCCGAGTGCGCGCTGCTCGCGGGCCCGCGGGCCGAGCCGGCCCATGCAGCCGTTAAGGAAGGTTATCTGATCGCGCTTCGATGGAGCAGAGTCACGGTCGAACGATCGGAGACGCGGAGTGAGTGGGGCGCGCGGAGGAGGGGGGAGCAGCGGGGTTGCACCACCCAGCAGCTGGTGCCGGTGAGAGGCGCCGCCACCACCGCGGTTGTTTCAGCTGCGGCCGCCGAAGCGTTTTGTTACGGTCGGGACCGGCGAATTAATCCCCATCTGTACGTCTCTGTGGAGCCTGGCCTGCTTGATGAACCGCCCCGGCGCGCCTCTTCCCCATCCCCTATCCACCCCCCGCGGCGATGATCCCCGCCGTCTCGTCTGGAAGGCGCGCCATACCCGGCCGGGGGAGTCATTACCGTGAAGACCCCCACCAACTTTTGTTATAATTTCGGAAGCGTTTTAGCGCTGTGCAAACCGGGATGGCGCGCGCGGCGTGCTAATCCATCACCCGGGAGGAGCGCGACGGGGGCGGGCGGCCGTTGTTGTCGTCCTTGTCGCACCCGCTGGCAGGATGGGGGGCGCCTCCTGTGGTAGAGAGAGCGAGAGAGAGAGAGAAAGCAGCGTCATGGGGAAGAGGAAAGAAGTTGCTCCGGATAGTCTCCGCTGGTACCAGCAGCAGCTGGTACTTTGTGGTTGTGCGGCTGCACCCGTGTGCTCGCGAGGGACTTGGACTGGTACTCGGAGCAGCGGGGGCGACCAGAGCCGGGCGGGCTGCGCCGCTGTCGCACTGGTCGGGGGCTGAGGGTGTTATTTAATATTTAAGAGGGAAGGGAGGGACAAGGCGGTGGAGGATGGGACGGAGGGGGCCAAAAAAAAAAACCTAAGGGAAAAGAAGGAGGGTGCTGCCGCCGCTGTTGCCGCCGCCGAAAGCAGAGAAAGGCGAAAGGGGGCCACCGGAAACACGGCCTTGCGGACCCCAGGAGCATCGCTCTGGGGAGTCATCAGGGGCAGAATTTAATTAATGCTTCCCTCAACCAGCCCGGGGGCCGCAGGGGACGCGCGAGCTGCAGGGGCTGGGTGGGGCGGCGGTGGCGGTGGCGGCTTGGGCGGGGCCGCCGAGCCGAGCAGGCTGCCGGCGGTATCGGGGTCGAGGAAAGATTAAGTATTAACGATGATTCGGGGTCTCTCGCGAGTACACAACAACACAACACGGAGGAGAGTGTGATTGAGCTCGCAGGGCCGCAGGGGCTTTGTACTCGAGCGGGAGCTTTAGCATCTCTTTGTTTTTTCCCTGACCTATTTCTCTGACCTCCGCGCTCTGCTGCTTCCTGTCTCCGCAGGTTCTGTACCAGTTCCGAATGGAGGTTGGCGACAAGGAGGCCATGGACCCGCCCACCCTGGACATCCCGACGCGCGGCCGGCTGCCCGACTTCGTCGAGACCTTCAAGGTGCACCTGCCGTGCACGGGGCGCAAGGCGGCCGAGGTGGACGTGCTGATCCAGCTCAACATCACGACCAATATCAAAAAGCACAACGACACGGTGCTCAACTTCGTGCGTAAGAAGATCTGCCTTTTCGGTACGTGAGTCAGCGCCTCGCTTTTTAAACCTGACTAGCGTTTAAATCCAGGAGGCCGTCAACGGTGGCGGGTGGGTGAAAAGAGTTTTTTTTCCCATTTGCTTTTGCATCTCTTTTGCACCACGGTGCTGGTTCCGTAAAGAAACTTACGTGGTTTGCTCTTTTGCAAACTGCAACATTTCTTCCCGTTCCTTCCGGGTCAGCGAGACATGTATGATGGATGGGCGCGCGGTGACTGCGGCGAGAGCGAGTCGCCGCCGCCGCCGTGAGTCGGCGGGAAATTCGAAAAAGGCCGCGCGCCGCGCCTCGCTTTTTCGCGTATCTCTCCTCCCCCATCACCAGAACGGCCTTCTTCTTGTGCTTCCAGATGACCGGCCGCGCGCTCCGCATCCCAACGAGATCGGCCACCAGTCGGCGGCCGGCGGCGCCGCGGGGGCGGCCGGGGCGGCGGGGGTGGCCGCGGGAGCCGACGCTGCCGCCGGCGGCCACGGAGGCGGCGGCGGCAGTGGCAGCGGTGACGGCTGGCGGCCCGTGCTCCTCGAGGCCACGGAGGGCCTGTACGCCACGGGGGGCATCGCCGGAGCGCTCTTCGTGCTCTCATCCTTCCTCATGGTGCTCGTCTGGAAGCGCCGCAGCACGTCCAAGATGCGACCCCAGGAATGCCAATAGTGAGTACTCCTCGTTTTAATTTGCGTCTTGCTGCATCCCTGGACGTTGCATTGTTTTCAATTTATTCCATTGCCCTGCAGCACCAGCTACGCCAGCGCGTACGGCTCCCCGCCCAGCGTGCTCGTCAGCAAGCCGCCGCTGCCGGGCTCGGGCCGCGGCGCCCTGGGGCCCTTCATCGGCGCCGTCAACTCGGACAGCGACTGCGGCTCGTACGCGACCATCGCGTCCTTCCACAAGGTCGGGCTGGGCTCGGCGCTGGGGCTGGGCTCCGTGCTGGGCTCGACGCTGGGCGGCTCGGCGCTGGGAGGTTCGGCCTTGGGCGGCTCCTCGGTGCTCGGCGGCTCGGCCTCCCGCGTCCTGGGCCCGTCGAGCCTCGCGAGCGGCTCGCTCACCAAGAGCACGCGCGCGGGGTCGCCGTACGCGGCCTCGCCCTACGCCACCTCGGTGGTGGCCACGGGCGGCAGCGGCGGCGGCGGGGGCGGCGGCTCGGTCATCACGAGGCTGTACTCGCCCACGCCGCCCACGCCGCAGACGGAGAGCGCCTACTCGTCGTACTCGTCCTACTGCCCGCGCAGGGTCGCCTACTACGCCGCCTCCAGCGTCAACTCGTTCTGCAAGCCTTCGGTGAGTCCCTCGGCTGCTCGGCCGGGCTATGTGGGGCCGGGCGAGTAATTAATCTTCATTGCCTTGTTGCCGACGGAAACCTGTTTATTGCGGTTGGGCGTGACGGCGTTTCGGATTCATTTACCACCCACTTCCCCCACCAACGCCGTGGCCATGGCCGGGGGAGAGGGGCGGAGTGGTGGTGGTGGAGGGCGGGAGCGCCGTGACTGTGTGCCATCATTAGCGTGGGCTCGGGAGGGAAATGGGTGATGACAGGCCAGCGCGCCCGCCGCGCCCTCACTCACCGAGCCGCGCCCCCTAGCGGGGCGAAGCGGGGCGGGGTGTGGCGGGGGTGGGGGGATGACAGGCCGGGGCGCTCGTAAAGGTATACGTGAGTGATTCGCTACCGCGCGGATTTAGCGCGGCCCGGATGGTGGAGGGGTCGGGGGAGGGTAAGCCCGGGCTGTACTGCCTGCTGCTGCCCCACCGCACACCGCCACGCCACGCCATGTACCGCGGGCGGCAGCGAGGAGGCGGGGCGGGGCGGGGCGGGGCACTTTGCTCCAGTTTATGGGATAACTCGGAAATATAGGCTGCTGCTGCCGTTGCCGCTGCCGCAGGGGCCGCTGCGCTGCGCCGCGCTGCAGCAACCAGTGATTTAGCGTCACATCGGAAGCGCGCGGCGAGGTCGCGCTGCCGCTGCGGTGGTGGTGGTGGTGGTGGTGGTGGTGGTGGTGGTGGTGGTGGTGGTGATGGCCGCTCTTGACGGCCAGGTGCAGGATGTGGGGCGGGCGGCCGTCGTATACTGCTTCACACACCGACCCGAGAGCTATCCTTCTCCCTCCCCGCCCCTTCCTGGTTGACATGATGAGGTGCGAGGGGGTTAGCTGCCGACGTGGGTGGAGGTAGTAGCGGTGCTGCAGGGGGTGGGTGTGGTGGGGGTGAGTTAAGCCCGGCACTGGCCGACGCGGCAGACCGGCGCAGGAGCCGGCCGTCAAATCGGCGCGCCGTTTACGTCAGTTTAATTTGATTCATGAAGCGCGAGTCCGGAGGCCGGCTGCAAGGGTTGCCTTAGCTAGAGGGGGGGCGCCAACAACCCTTGCTCGGAAATTATTCTCTCTGGTGAACAAGCAGCGCGGCAATTTGTAAGCAATCCGCTTGCGTCGTAGTCGTACATGTGTGGCCGCACCAGCAGCAGCACTACCGCCAATGCGATCAGGAGGGACAAGAAGCGCCGTGGTGGTAGCCTGACGCGGAAGGGGTGTTCGGTACGGTCCTGCGGCCGATAGCTGCCCCTCCCCGTCGCCGTCCTCCTCCGCAGTGCCGAGCCGTGCGCCTCGTTCGGCTGCTGCTGCAATCCTAATTTACGACGGGTGGCCAACGGGGCAGGGAGGGGGCGGGGGGAGCCTGCCTGGTGAAAGCGGTCCGCCCCGATATAGCTTAATATGTGTGAGCTATCTGGCCGCGCGCTGCGCCGGACTAACCCTCCCCTTCCCGCCCCCG